CTGGCCCATTGCTACGGGCCATTCAGTCCTTATACGACCGTTGCAAGAGCTTGTTCCGCATAGCCGGCAATAAATCAGACTCGTTCCTGGTAGGTGATGGGCTCCACCAGGACTGCCCTTTGATTCTGTTCATAATTTTTTTGGATAGAATTTCTAGGCGTAGCCAAGTGCTGGAAGGGTTTCACTTTGGTGGTCTCAGGATCTCATCTCTGCTTTTCGCAGATGATGCAGTTCTGTTGGCTTCGTCAGGTGATGGCCTCCAGCTCGCCTTGGAACGGTTCGCAGCCGAGTGTAAAGGAGTGGGAATGAGAATCAGCACCTCCAAATCTGAGGCCATGGTCCTCAGCCGGAAAAGGGTGGAGTGCCCACTCTGGGTCAGGGACGAGACCCTGCCCCAAGTGGAGTAGTTTAAGTATCTCGGGGTCTTGTTCACGAGTGATGGGAGAAGGGAGCGAGAGATTGACAGATGGATTGGTTTAGCGGCTGCAGTGATGCGTACACTGTACCGGTCTGTTGTGGTGACGAGAGAGCTGAGCGTAAAAGCGAAGCTCTCAATTTACCGGTCGATCTAAGCCCCTACCCTCACCTATGGTCACAAGGTGTGGGTAGTGACCGAAAGAACGACATCACGTATACAATCAGTGGAAATAGGTTTCCTCCGAAGGGTGGCTGGCCTCCCCCTTAGAGATAGGGTGAGAAGTTCGGCCAAATCGGGAGGGCCTCAGAGTAGAGCTGCTGCTCCTCTCCATCGAAAGGAGCCAGTTGAGGTGGTTCGGGCATCTGACAAGGATGCCCCCTGGGCGCCTCCTGGGTGAGGTTTCCTGGGCATGTTTTAATTTGTCATTTATTAAAATTATAAATATATATTTTAACTCAAAAGTACAGTTTTTAAATTCAATGTTGCTGAAACTACAAAGTAATAAAAAAATTAATCTATCTGATCGAGAAATCACTCATCTTTGGAAAAGAGAGTTTATTACAGAGAAATGGCTCTTTCCAAAATAAAAGCTATACTATACGCTTCTTCTGGGCTATATTCTC